TCTGAAATCAATATATCTCATTTTGAACTAACAAGTGATATTTTCACATCAATTGGAAAAATTAAATACTAAAATGGGCCCTGGCCAGACGGAATACCCCCAATATTTTCGAAAAAGTGTCAAACCAATTAACTCCAATACCACATCACCTATTTTCTCCTAACCCCTATTCAGAAATCTGATGATAGTTTAAATATAAATAATTACAGACCTATCTCAAAATTGAGTAGTACACCAAAATTATTTAAAGCTGTCATAACCAACAATCTCGCAGTTTCTGTAAAGTATTTTTTTCTACGAACAGTATGGCTTTAAATGCCAACGTTCGACATTGACAAATTTATTAATGATCTAACATTATACTTTGAAAAAACTAGAATTAAATTCTCAGGTTGATACAATTTATGCAGATGTATCTAAAGCGTTTGACACCGTCTAGCATAAAATAAAAAAAAAAGAAACTGTATAACTTGAGAATTCGAGGTACCATCTTCAAATTGATTGAAAGCTATTTGATAGGCGGAAATCAAAATGTAGAATACAAATCATTTGTTTCAAGAGAGTAATGGTTACCTCTGGTGTTCCTCAGCGTCCCCCTCTTGGGATTATTATTTGTTTCATTTGTAAATTAGGAAATTTATACTTTCTACTTGTTCATTTTTAATGTATGCGCATGATCTCATGTTATTCTCTGAAATTAAATCAGATGATGACTGCTTGAAAAGTCAAAAGAATTTAGATTTATTAGTTGTATGGCGTAGAAAAAATAAACTAAATCTAAATGTACTGAAATGTAGAACTATGACTTTTTCTAGAATGAGAAATGTGATCAAAATTTACATATTCAATCAACGGGCAATATCTTGAAATGGTTTCATTAATAAAAGATCTTGGTTCCTCTTTGGCCCTAAAATGAAATTCACATCCCTTATTGAGAGAGTTATCTCGAATACTAATTGCTTACTTGGATGTAGTGAAGGAATGACAATTGATTTTACTTTCCCATATACATGCGTATATACGAAGTAATATTCGTAGTACAGGGAAATATATGTAATGGTGCACAAAAAACTGCGGGTTTTTCGGCAGAAAAAATTCATCGCTCGTCCCTGTGAAACGAAAAAGTGGATAAATCGTGTTGCTAAATTTAAAAAATCCTCTAAGGCGTGGTGTAGCCAGAATCTTCATTTTGTGGGCCCTTCATACCGAAAAACCACTTGACGGCAAATCGTCCGTCCGTCTGTCAGTCTGTGAACACCACTAGCACCTAAACAACATGTACGATATTTTTCAAAATGGATATTCTCCGGTCGATCTAGCTCCACTCGAGGCGCCGCGATTTTACAAAAAATTCTTCAAAATTTGGTAGTACTTTACACGAAGTCCCCAGGATAATTTCGAAATTTTTCCCAAAACGGCTCAAACGGTCAGGAGGTTTTCATGAAGGGCATAACATTACATTGCTCTTGGATTAAGGCTGTATGTCCGTTAGATCAATACCTTCCTTGTATTACTTCTATTACTAGTAATAGAAGGTATTGGTTAGATCGACTTCGATGAAGTATCCCAAAAAAACACTTTAAATGAAAGTAAAATCTCCGTTCTTCAATACAGAAAGAAAAATTTCGACCCCTATCGGTCTAGGTTTTTAATAAAAGACATTTAAATTTAGTACAGGCTCTTTCACAGGCATAGGTGTTTTACGTTATACGGTGAAAGTACCTTTTTCTTTTATTCAATACGTAGTAAATGTTTTGAGGAATCGGATGATATTAAAAGCAACATACGTCACCGTGTATTCTGAGGAGTAATTTATGAAAAATCTTCTGCGAAATTCATCGCAACCGTAAGTACTGGCTCTCGGCATTGGAATAATGATGTAAAAATCTGCTAATATCATCACTTTTTCTCTTGGGGAACGAGATAAACCCATTCTAACTTAAAATGTTGTACCATTCACAACCACAATAATAATAGATATTAGAGATAATTCAGTTTCAACGTAACGATGTTGAGTAATATTCAACACAGAAAGAGTACGGTAAAGTACAGGCACTCAATTCAATGTAACCTGCATTATGTACTGTCAACTTATGAAAATGAAAAACTAAGCGAGAGTCTAAATTTGTAAGTAAAGATTGATTTTTCTATACTGCTTTTCACGTTGTGAAGGCACAATCCGCGCGTTGTTGCCGTCGCGACATTTTTGCTTGCTCGGTCGCTCCAGAATCGTTCGTCAAAATCACGGTTACCTTTCTCAATATATGCATCTACAGATACAATTGTCGTTTAAAATTGTTGTTTAATGCAGAAAGTTTAAAATTGTCGTACTGATAAAATTGTGTTTATTCGCTGTATTATTATTATTATTATTATTATTATTATTATTATTATTATTATTATTATTATTATAGCCTTTTTAACGTAAATATCTAATACGCAGAAACCTTTACGTGTTTCCATCTTATATAATGAAAAAAATCGTTAATTGTTTTTTGTGCTGTCAACTATTTATTACTTAATTTACACAATAAAAGAAACACTACGACCAATAGTTATTCAACTTTCATCTTAGTATATCATGTTCCTTTTCTCATTTCTGAACTGACGTATTTCTCGTAGATATAAATATGGGCACAATATTATATCATTTCTTTCTTTTTTTCTCGCTTTTCAAATTCAAATCCCTTTTCTATCAATGAGCAAAAAAGGTAGAATATTTGAAATTTTGTAAACATTTAGCATTAACATCTTTAATTACACACAGGATTGTTGCAGGAACATTTTAAAATAGAAAAGGCATGCAATTTGAGACATACCGAATGTACAAAATAGTTATACTTCATTTCCCTACGAATCTACATTTCAGTCCAGTTAACTTTATTTTTCTCGGGTTTGTTCTTTGCCCATTCTCATTTGCCTTTTTCATTCCAAAGGAATGTCTCCTGGTGCCTGTCGCATGATTGACTCCGTTTTTGGATGTTCCTTTTAAGTTATTCAACACATTTAACATGTTTTTTTACCACTTTTAAATACTTCACCGTGTTCTTGAAAGGGATTTTCGTGATCTTTCGAGCATTCATTTGGATGGTCCCTTTCACTGAAGACATAAACAGTTTCTTTCAGCCCTAAGGGTCACAGGGCGTCTGTGCCTTGTCTGTGTGTGCCTCCCGTCGAGCCTCAAGTCGTCGTTTCACGTCGCGCGCTCTTCTTCAAAACGTACATCAAGTAACCATTTCCTACACAGAAGTAATGCCTCAGAAGACCCTTTGATTGATGATAGAAATTAATTTCATCGTTTTACAAAAGTTTTTTATTGGACTTCATGAACAAAAATGTCCCAGCGACGATATATTCTAATACACAAAATAAAAATTCACATATTTTCATTGACAATTCATTTTTTTAAAGGGATACATTCTGATATATTGTTAAAATGAAAGCATTTTCCCCATTGAAACATTGTATCGATTTTTTCCAAAAAAAACTTCCATCTATTTTTGTGTATATTTTAACGGTTTGAATAAAATAAGTTTAGATAGTCAGTTCCGCAGAAATTCAGCGTTTTCATTATTTTATTTACAAAGCAAATAAATGACACATTTTTCTTCGTTACCATCGTGTTCCTCGTAATTTTCTTCACAGGAACATATTTTTTCTCCTTACTTTTACAACAATCGATTTGGCCATAGTGCACGAGACTCTTCCAATGGTATTGTTAATACCATTGTCCATCAGAGCCCATTGTGCCCTGAGAGTATATATTGTGCCTTCATGACGTGTCAATATAGAGCTCCGTTCTCGTTTATAAGTTGTATTGTTACAATAGTTGTTGTAACAATTGTTATTGTAACAACTGTAATCTATTGTATATATAAAATAACAGTTGTAATCTATTGTTACAAGAACTACTGTTATCAACCGCTAATTCTAATCGTAAACATGTTTGCCATCGAACACAAGATCAAAGCGAACCTTATTAAATCAATCCATCTGTAAATGTAATAAATGGTTGAGTATTTGACTAGCAACTCCCACGAACATACCACATTAACAGAAAGACATATTTCAGAGAAACATTGGCAATATTTTGGCAAACTCCTATTGTGGTGTTCAGTATTTACAAATAAATGTAGAATTAAAGTGTTACGAAATATTAGAAACTTAAAGTATGTACAAGCGTGTATTTATTTCAAAATATGTAAAATAAAAATGTTTTTAATTCGATCAGAATATTTTACAATCTCTAAAAGAAATTATGTGAATTCGTTTCCAAGTGAATCTCTCTCGTCTATTTCTACTATATCAGATCAGAAGAATTGTTTTCGATGAACAGTAATTTATTAAATTAATAGTGAATACCATTTTCGTCTTAAACTAAATATTAATTTGGATCTCAAAATTGCTGACATTCTCCACTTCTTTCGAAAACAATCCGAGCTACAGAAATTACCTTGGCAGACAGGTTGAAGTTTGAAAGTCCGGCGCAGCCGATGTCGCACTTATAATTTTCCATTTTACACATCACATTTCATTTTGATATTTCCTAAACCATAGTATATTTTCAATATGTACATTCAGTAATACCGCTTTAAGTTTGACATTAAACGTTAATTTGGATCGAAAAAAACGACGTATGTTCGAAATCCCCAATTTTCTGTGTTTCAAAAGTTGGCAACTCTTAATCACGATTTGAATGGCTTTGAAAGAGTTTGCTTTGTAGACCCTCTGATTTGGTTACTCCAGTGACCCTGGTGGTTGAACTGTGAAACTCGGGTGCAGCGAAGGTCGAAACATCCTTTCCAGTGTGCATATCCTCAGATTGCTGTGAGCCATTGTAAACAGAGAACGATTATACTCTATTTCAAGGATTTTTAGATGTGCGGCTGTGTTACCGAGTGAGGCGGCAAATATAATTTACGAAGCTATTATAATTAACGCGTTAGTGAAGTGTTCCTTTATTCGTCGTGAAATTTATTGAGTGATAGAGAGCGGAAAATATGAGTGCTGATATGTTGTATGGTGGAGATGACATAGGAGCTTTGGTTTTTGATGTGGGGCATTATTCCTTGCGAGTGGGTCATGCTCAAGATAGTACTCCGAAAGCAGAAATTCCTGCAGTTGTTGGGATATCTGAAGAAACAGAATCATTTCCATGCTTTGATGAAGATGAAAAATGGCTTGATGGAAAGCAAAATCCTTTTGATAACAATGGAAAGAAATATTACGTTGACACTAATTTCGTACACGTTGCAAAAGAAAGAATGGAATTGTTGAGATACATGAAAGATGGGATGATTCATGATTGGGATCTATTCGAAAAGGTGTTGGATTATGCATACGAAAGAGTTATACAATCAGAACCCCATTTTCATCCTGTCCTTATGTCAGAAGCATCATGGAATGAGGCCGAAAAAAGGGAAAAACTTACTGAAATTATGTTTGAAAAGTACAACGTACCTGCATTCTTTCTAGCGAAAAATTCTGTACTTGCTGCTTTTGCAAACGGTCGTACTACAGGAATAGTTGTGGACAGCGGTGCAACACATACATCGGCAGTACCTGTTGAAGACGGTTTTGTGCTCAAAAAAGCCATAGTGCGGTCGCCTATTGGAGGAGATTACATTACTTCACTTTGTGAAACATTTCTAAAGGTTAGTGCCAAATATATTACCAAGGAGGAGAGAACTTTACTTTTAATATTTGACTTTTAATTAATGCAATTAAATGGTATGCAGTGTTCAAATTCACCCGGCAATAGGCGCGCCATGTTTCGTAATGAATAAAGGCGCTTGGCGCAGTAAAAAGGCAAGAAAAGTGTAAATACTTTTTCGTTTCTTTAATAAATGCTTTAATTTAATTTTTTATGTATAGAGATTGAAACAATAACGAGTATTTTACTAATTTCTATGATTTTTCTTTTTACAAAAAGTATTTCACGTGTTTAATGTAGTGATCCCTGCATACAGCTTTACACATTAAACATAATTTATTCGCAATTTTTCTGTTTTTGTTTTTCTTCATATACAGGTAACAAACGAACGAGTTAGAGGTCTCTAACTCTCGTTGTAAAAAACATTTCTGTGCCTTATAAAACATTTGAAGTACGGAAACTATGAATATTATAATGTAATAGATATTTTACTACGTTATATTAATATCGTAATATTAAAAATAGCAATATAAATATTTTAGTTAACTTAAAAATAATTAATATATACTTCAAAGAAGTATTTTATTTTGAAATAGAAACAAACCCACAAAGACCCTACCCAAAAGATGAAACTAAAACGCAAATAGGTAAAATATAAATACACTATAGTTCATGGAAGAAAGTAAATACTTCACGGAGTGTGTGATTGGAAGTAAAATCGCATGTGCCTCTAGTTCTGCGGACGCGGAGGAGACGCGGGGTGACTCAATGGCCCTCCCTACGTCGTGTCAGATTTCCATCGCAAGGAAATTTCGCGGAAGCACAGGAAGCAGTCAAACTATACGCGGCCAGCAATGTGCATAGTTTTCCTCGAAATGTATTGACGAACTCGCTATATTATAAATATTCTCAATTGTATAAAAGTATGAACATATAAAAGTTGTAATAGTATATATAACTATAAATAAGTAAAAAGTACATTGAGGTCCGAAATAGTGCCTAGGGTGGCTCCAGGCACTCCGCACAGCTTCTCCCGAGTTAATGAATGTATGTGGTACATATTTTATGAATATGATTGTAATTATATTTATGATATCAAATAGCATATTTAATTTTTCATTTCATGTAAGATTCTGTGCGTTTCTGACCACTCTTGCAAAAGAGCAGGATTAAAGCAACAAAAATGCATTGAAGGCTCAACGAGACTCATTTTGTAGAAAACTGCTTATTTCATACATAATTCGGGTCCCATGTGGCATGCTATAATATGTTCCTCTCGCATGCTCTTCGCGTTCTCCACATGTTTCACGGAAGACCCACATTTTTTCCGAATACTCTAAACATGTTCCACAACTATTTCTGCATATTTCTGGCATTTTCTCGCCTGTTTGCTCACGTACTCCCAATATGTTTAACAGGAAATTCGGAATAGTTATGGACGTCACAACTATCATAGGAGTTACGATGTGAATATTGTACGTTTTATCCACTACCTGTATATTTTTTGAAAATGTTATACGTTTTCGAGCATTTTCATTTGAATTGTAGTCAATTTTAAAAACAAAATATTCTCAAAAAAGATTTTTCATTTTTTCTTCAAACCTTTTGTACGGATATTGCTAAATGTACCGTCATCTCGAGCTACTTGTGTCCTGGATCCATGCGAAAAAAATGTTTTTACCGGTTGTAGTCGCTTTTACATTGCATTAACCAGTTAGTTTTCTGTTGCATCCGTGCGATGGCAACACAGTGCAGTATTAAACGTGTTTAGAATAATTCGGTGGTACACTTGAAAGTTACAGCACTTAAGTGCCTGGGGTCGAAATTGGCCGAATTTGATCCCTGCAAACTTATATCTCTACACTGGATTTCAAGATAGTTGATCAAGGGATCAGTTTACATTTTCGTAATGATATTTTTGTTAATAAAACGGCTGTGATAACTTCGTCATTAGTAGAACGCCTTCCCCATTTTTTCTGTTTGCTTAATTGTGAGCACATAACTGAAAAATCCGCCCACGCTCACGGTGGGATCAAGTTACCCCAAAATATCTTTTTAATGCATTAATAGTATTATTTCGATATTTAAAACTTCAACAACAGTAATTGTCTCTTGCGTTTACAGTAATTTGACCGTAATAGTACACAAATACAAAATATTTCCTGAATTCGGAAATTATAAGGACCACCCGCTTGAAAATTGTTTGGTAGAAATTATTGGGGATAATGTCACAAAGACAAGCTGAAGCTTCCTTCATTGTCGATCATAGTTAAAAACTGTGTGACGTGCAAGGGGGAGAAGTAAGTTTGACATAAGATTTATGTTCAGAAGCAAATCAATGGGCCATTTCAGCATTTACTCAAGGATCAGGGATACTGGACGAAAATCTGATCCAAATGGGGTTGTTTGACCCAGAAGCTGAAGTAAAATACTCGTTACAGGTTCTTTAGAATTATACAACGCAAATGGTAAATAATACATCAAATTTCTTAGTTAAAATTAATATTACTTTCCTTTTGGACGCACGAAAATAACGCGGGGGTTCAAGTAGGCCACATAGCAGTGTAACTTGAAGCAACTTTTCAAAAGAAATATTTGCGATTTGTGTTAAGTATATCTTATCAAACTACTCTCAAGCACGTCACAATAAACCTGTACATTTTAAGATTTTTTTTTGTTTTTCATGAATTAGTAAAGGAAAATCTACAAAAGTATTAAAAAATAAGCCCGTGTTTACGGTACTGTATGAAATATCATTAACGCCATTTTAATGTATTCTTTTGATTTTTCAAAAGGTGCACAAATTTTCTTTTTTACATATCTCTCATGCCATTAAAATGTACATTGTAGAAGTATTTCATTATTTAATGCGTTTGTTAACACATAAGAGTATTCAAATGTCTCTAATGGGTTTTGAAACAATCATAATATTTTGAGTTTGTCGAATTTTTGGAAACGTTTGAAGAAAATGTTCTCAGTCTACGGAAAAATTTCCCCCGGAAATCCCGACAATAGAAAAGAGTTCAATTCTTATTGATATTCCGTAAGCATGATTTCGATCATAATATGTAGGAACCGAAAAATAAAAATAGAAATAAAAAATGTGTGTGTTTTTAATCAAACATTATTAATTAGTGGTGCAGCAGAATGGAAGACCTTTCTCGTATTATATTTTTATTTCCTTTGGTCTCGGCTAGCTATTAGGTTTTGTCACATTCTCATGCCAGCTGCTATCTATTGCCGTCCAAAGTAGATATATATAAAAAAAGTTCTTAATTTTTCGGTTTCGTAATAGTAGAACAGCAAAATTATTTTAAGAATATTGAAAAACAGTAAAACCTCTCCTAAAATAGCAGTTTCTTTGAAAAGTTTGGAGTTGTTTTGAAGAAAATGGCGTTTTAATTCGAATTTTGAACCTCTTTTCACCGAAAACAATTGAGTTTCCGAAAAACTTCCGATATACTCGTAAAGTTATTTAAAGCACTTCCAGTCACACATGTAGTAGTGTTTACAAATCTCTGGAAATGTGCCTATTAAAGGTGTGGGAGATATTAAAAAAACAAAAGAATGCAACAAAATTAATTCTATGTAATCTTAAGCAGTGCAGTTAGCACTATTCGTTCATAACGCGTGAAGAACAAAATGGAGCGGTTTTCAACAAAAAATGGCGTTTGAGTGTTTCTGAAAATGTGGAATTTTGAGATAATTTTAACAGAAAACGGTTGAGTTATCGAGAAACTTTATCTGACATTATTTAGAACACATATACTCATAAAGAAATTAAAGCGAACAAATTGCAGTTGATGTAAATTCTAACTACGCGAGAGGCAAGTAAAAAAATATTTTTTGTAATTTTTGAAAAAATACAAGAATATAGAGCAAAATGGCGTTTATGTCATCGCGTAGAGTGCATTTAGTATTATAACAAAAGTTTAAAGAAACAATTGGAGCCTTTTTTGATAAAATCAAGTTTTTGTAATTTTTTAAAAGTTGCACAAATTGCTCGCTATATTGCAAGAAAACTACTAAATTGTTCAAAAAATGACCTGAATGAATGAAGTCACTATGGAAAATAAATTTTATTTGAAGGAAAAATCTCTTATCTCTTAACTTTTTTCTTATTAGTAATGGGAGTGCTTGGAGAGTGGTTTGAATTAAATTGAACATGTGGAGGCGTTGTTGATTCATTTATTCATTTATGTCGACACAAGCGCCCCTGAACTCTACGCAACCCGTTCCACGTCAAGGATTGAGCGCGTCTTCACTGCATTCAAGTATTATGCCCCTGCGATTGTAAATATCGGCCGAAATTATTACTTGATTCTCGGACAAGAAAATAAAATGTCTCCAAAATGATGTCATACCAAACGCGTGCCCAAATTTGTGGGAAAACGTTTTAACAATAGGAAACTTGTGAAACTTGTTTGTTCTTCTATTCTTGCCGTTTCTGAACACCGTTTCATTGTTCTTTTGTAGATGAGTTGCCTTGTACGCCGCTAACGCGTTCTTTGCTGCTGCTTCTCGATTGCTAGACCTTGTGGCGTTGTTTTCCTCTACTATCTTTATTCGAAGTGCGTTTTGTTCTTAGAAACGAATTCGGTGAACGCGGAAAAATCACCTGAAGAAAGGCAAGAATCGTAGCTCGAGGTTTCGCCCGAAGACCAGGTATTGATTATAATGAGACGTGCGCATCAGTTGCTCGACTGCTCCATTCGTTTAGCTACAGCCATGGTCGCCCAATATTATATGTTTATTAGAAAATTTGATGTTACCACAGTATATCTCAATGACACGATGTATGAACATATGTGCATGGAACAGCTAGGGTACAAGCAAGAAGTATTAGAGTTTTTAGTCGCTTATGGAAAGGAATCGCAAGTCATACGTGAATAGGCTAGAATATCTCTGAAACGATCAGATCAAAACTTATGTTTGCAAAATGAAGAAAGTGCTCTGCGGTTTGAAAGAAAGCGAGTCGTTGCTGGCACGAAGAGCCAATTA